GCACTGAATGTGATTCTTTGTTCAGAGGAAGCAAGGCACAGTGCTCTCCTATCAGATAGTGGTGAGGGCAGACTTCAGAGAAGTGGGACATGGTATTCAGAAGTGGTTATCGTGTCTTTGTAATGGGTGGAGGGGTGGTTATTTTGAGCCAAGTTAGAGATAACGGATCTTGCAGTGGCTGTGTTTTTCGGGCCAGTAATCCATATTTCAGATGCATTTAAACAAGTTATTGAGGGAAGGATGCCATTTCATTCTGCTTTGAATTACACACAAAATAGTATGTGACAGTTTCTGCCTCATTCACTTTAGTTTCAGGCATTTTAGCCGAGCTTCGCTTTTAGAACAGTCTTGAAAATGAGTTACAGTCTTATGGTTAAAATGGGTCTAGGAATTAATATTTGTTTTTCATCTTTGAATATGCTGTAGATGAACAGTATGACATTCAGTTTTTCTGTCCTCAGTTTCTCTGCGTGCAAAAGAGAACAACTGCTACCTTTCTAACGTGCTTCCGTGGTACTGTGTGAAAGGTGCTGCATTAGTGCAGGAGATCACTTGTCCAGATGTGTACTGACTCTTTGAAGTGCGGCCAGGTGTGTATGTGGCATCAGAGCTGACTGCACCATCACCTTCCTTCCAAGTGAATGCTGTTGGTAGGCACTGAAGAAATCAGCCTGACGCTGCTTTTATGGAAACATATACCAAAACTGCCACTGGTTTTGCTAAAAGCTAGATCAGGCTCAATGTGTTGCTGACAGACCTCTTGCACATTAAGGCTTCTCCTGGGACTCTTGGACAAAGTGAAGCTTTGTGGGTTTTCAAAGCGTGTTTTGTTTTGTTTTTTGGTTTTTTTTTAAATAATGTAATTGTGCTTCTTCTCGTTTTCTGCCTCATGCATGACATTGAGGCTTCTTACTGTTTTAAGTGCCACTGTCTGGTGTTTCACAGATCAGAATGTGTGCTGTGATTAATCTTACATCTTCATACAACTGGAGGGAGTGACATAACTAAACCTGCTCTTCCCATCATAATACTGCCGTGTGCCAGCCCACATCAAACTCTGTGCCTTCTCAGAAACTTCCAGCTCACCATTAGCTATTACTCAGAGCCCTGGCTACCCTGGAAAGACCAGGCTATCTCAGGTTTCCTTTGCCATTCACATAGTCTTTGCTTCTGGTGATGACGGTTGCGTGATGTTTCAGAACAGGGCAGTGTATCCCCCGACATCCAGCGTGCACGCCCAGTTGTGCAATGCCTTTAGAGCTCCTTCCCAATCTGTTTTGAGGAATCACCTTCTGACCTGAAGCATGAAAATTGCTTCTCCTTATCTTCACCTACATTACTCTGGCTGCTGTCGTCGGTCATAATGTTATCTGTTGCCCTTTTCAAACCAGCCCCAATGTTTACTCCTCTGACCTTCCCTCTTAATGAATTCCATAGGCTGGATGCATTGTTGAAAAAAAACATTTCTTAAACTTTCTGCTAATCAAACTGAGGGCCTGCCTTCATGTAAATTAAATAATATGATACATTGCCTGTAGTTATACTCAAAGAACATGATCATTAAAACAAACCAGTATCTCTTTCCTATGGATCATGTTTTCCATATCATCCTCTTTGTTTAGATTAAATTTGCGAGACTTCAGTGCTGCTTTTCATTCAGGATGATAAAAGGAACAGAATCACTGTTCCAAAGTGAACTTCAAGGACAAAATCTCAACTGAAGTTTAACTTGAAGGGAAAAGACTTAACTTCAGATATTCCTGCAAATTCGGGGACAAAAGTCTCTGTATTTTCTTTTTCTTTATTTCTAGCTGCACTGTCAGGATTTTATATGAAGGATTTTTATTTTTTCATGCTATGACCATGTTTGTTATGTGCAGCTTCCTTTTGCTTTTAAGTCTGAAAGAGGTCAGATTAAATACACACAATGAAAAAGAGGCTAAGCAGTTCAAATAACTGCAGATGGACTATTTCGGACAGGACTGACTTCAAGCAGCAGGAAGCATCAGTTGCAAACAGTAAAGCTCCCAGGGAAAATATGCCAGCAATTTGTCTTTTATAACCCTGTGCATAACCATTGGGTAGGAGATTTTATATACGGTGGCCCTCTGTTCTTGCTTAATTCAGTCTAGCAAAGCAAGATACTACAAATCTTGCCTTTTTTTGATGTGCAGTGGCAGAAGCGTGTTCCTTTAGCTTGTAAATGCTACACATCGGTATCTGAAATCTTTCTGGTAAAGCAGGGAAAGAGAAGGGAAGGGAACTGCAATGTTTAGTTCTCTGTCTTGTGGCTGTTGTGATCTTTGGTGAGAGGAAGGGAACTGCAGTGTTTAGTTCTTCCTCTTCATGTGGCTGTTGTGCTCTTTGGTTTTGAATTAACTGTCTGTGTTCTCAAAAGAAAGGCTTGTCTGATGCCCACCCACCTTTCTGTTAGACACTTGGTGCTGCTCAGACTGCTTTTTGTCTGAAGCTAAAGGAGCAATTTATGGAAAAATACACACTAATATTTATATAATGTCTGTTTGTCCCAAAGAAACCCAAGGCATCTAGAAATTGTATGTAGGAATCCCTATACATATAAGCACACGTGTGTTTCTAAACAGCAGCCGTTTCTCATGGGGAGCACAGCCGTGAAACAGGAATCCCAAACAGCATTTTAGGACAGAAAGTAAGGCTGTCCAGCTGTAACCACAGGAGGAAACTTCAGTAGATAGAATGTAATCAGCCAAGTTAGAAATTGGCTAAGACGCTCTGCTTTAAATCTTCTAAGTCTGTTGACAGTGCTATAGGATTATTAATGCCCATAGACTGCTTGATGCCTGGGCTTCACCTGAGGAATGACACCTCCTGTGTAGTGCAGTGTCCCCGTAGCACGTTATGGGCCAACAGTTCAGCAGTGACTCCAAAGGAAGCCTGGATTGTTGTATCCATCCACACCGCTTCCTGCTGCACCTTGGGGAGGTTTGGAGATGTCCCATCCAAGTAATGGATTGCAACATCCCTGCTTAACATTAGTGATTTGGCAGGTTTACTGCAACAGAAGGCATGGCTGCAGGGAGTTTACTTTCCTTTGGGTCAGGTGCTGCACTTTTATGCTGACCTCTGCAAAACCTTGCAGAATTATTTTCTATATCTGGCAGAACAGTTTCTTTTTAACTGAATCAAATAAAATATTAACCAGTTTTTTCCGTCAGTTTATGATCTTGGCATCTGTCAATACAAGGTAGTTCTTAATGGATTACTCTGATCTACTCCCGTGTATGTTCATGTTTGTCTTTGGCCATAAACATTATGCAAATTCTTCTGCAAAAATCTTGATGGGACTTTTACTTTTGGGCCTATTCTGGGGCCTTTAAGGTGTCTAAGCTGACTATCCAGATCACCAGTCAGTTTTTAATATCTTGGCTTAGAACACCGTTGTGGGGAGGGAGAGGAAACTGGATGTCGAAGCAGCTAGTGCCTTAGGAGCAAAAGTCCAGTAACATTCCTGTAACCCTCTGGAAAACAATGTAATAGATTCAGTGCGTACTCTGTGTGTATCTCTGCAGGCACTGAAGTTATGGTAGGCACGAATTAGGGCCACCGTGAACAAACACTGCCCCTGCAGCATAAGAAAATAAGTATCTGTTTGTGATCAGGGTCTATTTCAGATACTGCAGGGAATTCACATCGCCTGCCTACTTCTGTTGGATTATTTATAGTTACAGTAGTTTAAAGAAAGCTAGTATATGTGAGATAATTTCCGGTGTGGTAAGCCACAGTCATTTGTTTATGCTGGATCCTTGCCAGGAGGCAATATACCTCATCTTGATGGAAATGATAGGCATTAGATGCAAATTTCCTGACATAAGAGCTCAATTTTTTATTTATTTAATTTTCAGAGAGAGTTCTTCAAATACAAACCCTCTGAAGTCTGAAGAATTTTCCCAAAGCCCCCTGAAAATGTTCGCATGATTTATTTGCCTTCTTAAAAACAAACATTGTGCTTACTTCACTAATACATTTGCTTGGGGAACAGATTTGGATATGTAAATACGATGCTTATGTGTGTGAGAAGATTGTATTGCTGCATTTAAGATGTGATCTGTACTTAAAACAGTGTTTTAAATAAATAAGATAATCTCATTTTGGTAGAGGAGTGGTCTGTTTTGACTTAGCCAATCAATTCATTGAACCATAGAAAGCATTTTCCTGACTGCTTTATGTCTTTTTACTTGCATTGGTTTGAAAGCAAATTCAAATTAAACTTTCTCATTTTGACAAGCTTCCAGCAGCTCTAAGGAGGGCTCTTCTGCTTTGCCCAGTGAAACTGTGCACCTCAAGAAAGTTCCAGAGAAAAGGCAGTTTAGAAGCGTGAGCTTCTGGGCTTAATCCTATTCCCACTGGAAATCCGATAAGCATTCAGATTAGCTTTGTCTTTGGTAGGGATTAAATTTGCAGAGAATCTCCAGTTTTCGTGCTAAGATTGGCTCTTCTCTGGAAAGAGCCTTTAATAGCAAATAGTCTGAGGCATTTAATATAGAACAGCAGCATTTTTTCTTATGACATCCAATTTATGTTGTTTTGTGAGTGCTACATTGCAGTTAGTCCTGTGAAACACTAATAAAAAATGACAATTACCTAATTGATCCATAACCTCTGCCTGGGGTAACAGTGACCTTTGCTGGGCTGGTTGTGTCAGCAAAGTGGGAAGATGCAGCTTCTTAATATAGTGTCACAGATCTGTATTCTTAAATGTAAAAGACAAACTTTGTTGGCTCTTAAGAATAATGTTTCTTATCCTTGCAGGAACTGACGATACAATCTGGAAATAGATATGCTACATACTTTTCCAGTTTATGATATACACAGGATAGCTTAGTAACTTTATAGTTCTTTTTCAAAAATCATATTCTGCCTTTGACAGGTGCCATGATACCAGATTTCAAAATCTGATTACCTCACAGCTTTCATGATTGTGTTTTTCATCTCTCTCTCCCTCCTCTTCCCCTTTTTAGCAATATACAATTATGATGCTGTCCAAGATGTGGAGCTCTCCTTGCAAGTTGGTGATACTGTTCACATTTTGGAGATGTATGAAGGTAGGTTGCAGATCACTTCCAAGTACTTTGCAATCATTTTTGAAAGTAAATATAACAAATCAAGATTTTTTTTTTTAAATAATACAAGTTTCAGATCTAGATTTTCAACTTCTGATATGCCCAAAAGCGCAAAGCTTGCAATGTAGTGTTTGCTGTATGCAATTGACTTTTAAAACGGTGTTACAAATACATAAAATACAGAAGCGGCAATCATATCTACGCTGTTCCTGGCAGAGGTTTGTCAAGGTAAGATTTCACTAGCATCTCAAGGCAGCACTGCAAGAGAAAGAAACACTTACTTCTGGCTGTTCCTTCCTTTTTTCACACCTCACCTGTTTACCTTGGCTCCTCCTTGCGCCAGGCCAAGCACTTGTATAGTCATGTGATGAACTGATCCAGCTGGAAAATAATAATAATAATTTTTTAAAAAGTACCTTTTAGCCTGAATTAGTTCTTTGATCTGAGACAATGGAGGCAGTGGATGAAAGAAAAGGAGAGGGCAGGTCTAATTGTTTCAAAAGTAATGTTGGTTTAAGCTGTAATATCACGAACTGGCATTGTATGTTTTAAAAAGCCTCCAGTTATGGAGCTCCCATGCCCTTTTTAGGCTGTTTCTCCCAGTACTTTACTGGGAAGTTTTTCATAATACATACCTTAATGTAAAACATCTTGCAGAAAGGAAAACAAAATTCCTATTTTAAACAAGATGAAAATTACACTTGTGTGTTTCATATTTACTTACTAAACTAGGCTGTTTAATGAAGATTTCAATATTAGGAATGGAACACAGCCATTTAATTAAAGAATGTACTAGTCAATACTTCATTTGGAAGGCTCGCCAAAATTTAAATACTCTTTCCAAAATATAAATTCAATCATTTTCACAAGCAGCATCAGTTTGAAAAAGACTCAGCGCGCAAAAACTCTTCAGTATCTCTGCTGGGAATGGCAAGCTGCTTGTTTAGCAATTTGTTCTTAGCCAGTTGTTCTTTTTCCACTTCTCTTTGACCTTGACACTGGAAGCAGCCAGCCAGTTCCTACATGTCAAAGCAGATTATGTTGCTGATGTGTGTTTTTACACTGATGTGTGTGATAGTGGTGAGTGTGTTTGACGGGGGGGGGGGGGGAGGAGGGAGAAAGGGAAAAAAATCCGTATGTAATAGTACTAACTTATGAACTGGTTTTGCAAAAAGACACAAGGAAGAGGGAGTGTCAGGGATGAAAATTGCCCTCGTGAAGAGGATGCATCTTGTACTTCCCCAAATGCTGAGGTATTTCTTTCTCTTTTTTTTTTTAAAGCAGCATCATTGTTTAATCCTACTACTTGGTCTGTAATCAGCTGTTTAACAGAGAGACAGTCAAGAATAGGAAATGAATACCCAAATGGCATCCCTTTTTTTACCTGAAATGTCCCAGTTTGGAACTTCAGCCTGAGAGGATTGATTGTAAATTGTTTGGGAAAGTGTTTTGATTGTTTTCATACACTGAGCCATCAGTGTGGCATCCTAGTTTGTGACTGAGGCACCTAGGAATTACTTCAGTACAACTAAATACTTTTCCTGGAAAGACCAGCCAAAACTTCAGGCCAGACATTTGTGAATCTAACGGAAAAGATGCAGATTGTCTCCGAGAGGGTAACTCTGCTGCGGGTCTGGTCTTATTTCCCACAAATTCATCTTAAAAACTCCAAATTCTGATATTCTGTCTGCTTGGGAGGAAATTCTCATGTCTTACTGTATCTATTTTTCTTTCTTTTGGGACATCAGCTCTCAGCTTGGTTACCGGACATCTGTGTTTTTGAGAATTAGTGTTCTCACAAGAAGCCTTTTCTGGTTTTTCTCATGCTAATGATGTATACTTACAAATACAACTCCAGTCTGATGGAAGTGGTTTTTTTGTTCCACTAATCGCTATTCTTATCTGGATACACAAGTCTCAATTTAGAAAAAGGTTCCATTTAACCAGGGCGTTGGCTTTGCAAGAAGAAAGGCTCAGAGATGCCTTGTGAAGTGTGGGGGTTTTTTTGGTTTGTTTTTTTTTTTTTTAGTCTGTGTGAGTTATCCCTGCAGCTCCTGGCTGAGGAGGGCATTCCTTAGGGAATTAAGGGGGAGTTTTTCAGGATTGTCCAGAGGCTCTCGTGTAATGGTAATAGCCGCTTCAAAAATCTTGCTCCTTGCTATTGTTCCCTACCTCAGGATGCACAGGAGCATCTTTTATGAGTTACCAGGAGGTTCTCAAGACCATTGCACCGCAGTTCGCTTCCCACTCTTGTCAGTCATCTAGAACATGCCTCCTTTTTCCTCCTGGTTGAAGTTGTGTATCAAACAGCCTTCACTTGAAAGCTTTTCGTATTCTGCATCTGGGGTTTTGGCTGGCTCCACTCTGTAAGAATTGAAGTGCACAGTTTGTTCCTTGACAGCGAGGCAACAAGGTTGAAGCTTGCGCTGGGTTTTGGTGTTAACAATAAATGTTATCTGAGACTCAACTGGCTGAATAGCTTTGAGACATAACAGTGATACAGCTAAGCCACTGGGGGAGGTGTGTGAGAAGCAAAGAGCAATAAAATGAATTAAAGTGCAAGCCACAAGGTATGGATGCAGTTTGGTGCAGGCCCTTGTGCTACACAAACTTCTAATGTTACGTGGCTTTGCCACAGACAGTTAGCGTCTCACAAACTCTTAAGGTGGAGCGTGTGCAGTCAGGTGCTGCTGTTGTACTGCATAATGGCCTCACAACGAGAGAAAGCACCTTTAAATTGCAAAATCCCTGCTCATTTATGCTAGCACATGCTATCAGGAGTTAGAGGCCTGTTGCAAAGGCTGGAAGTCCTTGGAAAGTTGGCCAAATTTGGGGTGAGGCTCTGGCATTGCACTTTTGTTAGTAAAGCTTTCTTTTCCCATGCTCTAAACAGATGCTTTGCCTGATGTTTTATAAGTCCCAGTTACAACTACACAGTTAGGCTTGGATTGTGAGTGCACAAAAGAAGATAAGGGAGTGAAGTGATAACGTGGTAGATTGTCTGTTCATATTGCTGGACTGCAGCTTGCCTATGTCAAGGATTCGTCGAAGGGCGATCATCCCTGTAAATGGTAGCTTCAACTTGGACGAAGTACACAACATTGAAGCAAGGTGGTTTGGTTTTTTTCCTTCCTTTCTCTGGTTGGCTGTCTGGTTGCAGAAGGGCATGAGGTCTTTGTACAAAATTACTTTTTCCACTTGATAATAAGATAAGCAGTGCGTGCTTATCCTGTTGTTTGCCAAATACTGTCAAGACTGGGCATATGCTGCAAAATCCAAGAGAAGAAGGAAACTTGCTGCGTCCAATACTTTGAAAGCTGCTTCAGTGCAGGATTTACTTACTCTCTGGGAATCTGTCCTTGAGTAGTGAGCTGGGAGGATACATTTCTGTTCAGGGGAATCTTTTCTAATCTGCACTATATATTATTATTTCATGCAAGCTGTGGGAAATAGCTAAATTGTGGATAGAAGGAATGTGTGCCCACAGACCGTGATTCCGACCTGTTTCTTCTCCTGATGAAAAAAAGTTTGCATTGAATTTGTTCCTAGTTTCAGTCTTTTATCTTTCCTCTGACCACTGTAGGTAAATGAAGCAATCCCTTGTTTTATTTCAGAACGGTGCAGTGGTGTATGTTGTGGTACTGAGACAGTACACTACAGCGGAAGAGGAACAAAGACCTGTGGTTAAGCACGTGACCTGGGATTGCATCACTGTGTATAAGTTTTAGTCATTTAAACTATTGCATTTTGAATATTTTTTCTTAGATTTTTCTGATCTTTTACATACTGCATAAAATCCATTTAATGAAAGGTAAGATTGAGGACCTGTGTTCCATTTAAAAAAAAAAAAACAAAACACAACAAAAAAACCAAAACCCACGCTTTATGACATTTCTTTGCAAGACTCAGTCTGCTACCCTTGCATTCTTAATCAGACTGCAGTTTGAAAGAGCGTTGTAGTAGCTGAAATTTGCCGTGTCATCTTCAATTGAAAAGCCTTTCTCCATTTAGCACATCTCTGCTTGGAGAAAATACTCAAGAGAAATGTTAAATCAGTCTTATCAGTCCTCTGAAGCTTTAGGCGGATTTTTTTTTTTTTCTTTAAAGAAGAAATCAAGTAATCAATTGACCACTGCCAAAAGCTTTTGTTCCTTTTAAAATGATGAATAAGATGATTGAAAATTGGAGCAGAATTCTGAAAAAAATTGCATGAGATGCTTGCTGAAATAGTTTTGCATAATAATATACAGCATGCTTTTATGCAATGATTGCAAAATATTTTACAGGAATACGGTTAATGCCAAGAGGCCATTTTAAATATGAGGAAGCTGTGGTAGAGAAGGGCTGAGACACTGTGTTAAATGGAATTGAAATCACTGGGAAAATACTCTTTTTAAATTCCATGAGCTTTGTATAACACCCTGAATAACTTGTACTTGACCATTCAATTAATTACAACTTGGATAAAAATAGAACCTAAATCTTCTCATCCCTAATCCAGTACCTTATCCATTGGTCCATGATCAATGTATAATCTTATCTTCATCCTGTGGAAGGAATGGAATTTCTTCTTTCCTCCTAACTTACTACTGGAATATTGGGGATTATGCGGTCAAGCTGATTCACCTTCTAATTGCTAGAGAAAGGGGCCAAAACTGTGCTTAAAAAAACCCCAACAACAACCAAAAAAACCAAGCACCTCCCCCCCCCCAAAAAAAACCCAAACCAACAAAACAAAAAAACCATCCTAAGCTCTAATTTATGCTTGAGGGATCTCAGCTCCATGGTTCTTCATGCAACCTTCTTTGCTAAATATTTAAATATATGGGGGGGAAGAAAAAAAGAAAAAAAAAGAAAAAAAAAAAACCACAAACCACCCTCTCCTCCCCTCTTCTTTACCTGATTATTCCCTTAAATCCCTTTGCCTTCTTGGTGCTGCTCCCTCTGCTAGTCAGCTGAACATAATAGTCTTGGATCAGTGACGTTGTCTGTCGTGATAGCTGTGAACATCATTCATGTTTTATAGACCATAATCTATACCTTTCATGTTTGCTAGGAGGTAGGGTCAGTGTTTTCAGTTTCAATGCAAGTTGAACCTTAGGAGAAGAGTCAAAAAACGGTGCTTTAGGAGCATGGTTAATTGAGAGTTGGGGTTGCAGAGTGTCTTGACATTTGGAATGGTGCTTTTGGTAGGTAAGAGTCAGTAAGTGCAAGTTTGCATCTTATCCCAGAACATTGCAAGGGACGTTATGTCTGCACATCAGCATTTAAAATGGAGCAGATTCTTCTTCTGAAATGTTTAGTTTGTCATTTCCAGTACAGTAACTTCAGAAGCACTGAAGGTGGTGGAAACTGTTGCTTATGGCAGGGAACAGGCACCTAGTGGAAAGAGTGCACTTGATCATGCACAGCTCTTAGGTTTGCTGAGACAACTGACGAAGGTGAGGGTGGAGAGAAAAAATCCCTTTGTCTCACACAGTTTGGAGGTGGTGGAAGAAGAGTGGGAGTGACTTGCCCACAGCTATACTTCTCTCCTATCTGCTCATTCAGCAAGGCTTGCTTGAGGACATAAGAAATACAGCAGTTTTTTCATACACTTGCATTTCAGTGACCTTGAAATCAAAATACTGGTCAAACCCTAGGTGCTGAAGAGAGAAGAAACGTACATCTGAAAGGGACACATGCTTCTGAGTCTTGGGGATCACGGTTGTTACTTTGTATCTTATACTTTACTAGATCTTGTCAAGATAATATTGAGAAACAATATTTTTACCAGGGAAAGTGGTTTGGGGTTTTTTTTGCCTTATCTAATAAAACATTCTCTTTCAGCCTTCCTTTGAAGGAAGGCTTTAGACTGAGTCACAGAAGAAGATAATGAACCTACACAATGTGGAGCTCAAGCACATTCTGTATGATGATTTGGATGAAAATGTACTTCATAGAGAAGAAAATTTTAAAGGGGCAGAGTGGAATTAGACTTGGGACACTTGAATATATTTCTCTTTGCCAGATACATGCTATATGACCTTGGGTTGGTAGTTCTGCGTGCAGGTCTGTCTCTCTGCCTCATCTGTCAGATGATCATAGCAGTAGTTCTGTGCTGTGTATTTAACTTGCAAGCTTTATGGAATGAAGATTGTCACTTTCAAAATGCGTAACACGGAGTGGCCTGCTTTTCCATGGAGCCCTATCAGTACAGCCCAAATGGATACGCAGAGTAGAAGTGAGAGTGTCAGTTCATGGTAGGAACAGACACCCTTCTGCCCTACTCTTAGGAACCAAGCCTCCTACAAACAGAGCAGAGGTGTCTTCACAATAGTAGATCTCAAATGAGCAAGATCAATAGATTTATGTTGTAGAATCGTAGTGAGAATAACAATGTATATTTAATTGCTGTAGACAGGGGAAAAAAAAAAAAAATTGTGTTTCCCTTTGACAGGCTGGTACCGAGGATACACACTCCGAAATAAATCTAAGAAGGTATGACCTCACTTTTCAGTTCTAATTTTTATTTCACACCTTGCCAGACCCCGTCCGGTGCTGTAATCTGCTATGCTTCTGCTGTATTTCTTGTCTTAATATTGTGCAGGTCTCCTGATCACTATGTCCTTTTCCTTAGTGATAGCAATAAATGCCCTTGAGCTAAACGTTTCAGAACCATTACCTGGGTACTCCTCCATTGTAAGCATGCGTAATGTAGTTTGAACTAGCAAAATTGACTGTTGCATATCTGCATACACTAGCTTATGGCTTTATTATTATGGTCTTGGACCTGTACACATCCAGCATTAGTTATATGTAATGGTAAGATTAGAGTTTTGATTTGACTTGAAAAATATTCCAAAAATTATGCACGCGTGGATGTCAGCCAAACTTCTTGAGGTTTGTGAAACCAGTCTGAAAACTGCATGGAAATCTGGTTTCCCATAGGAATCCTGGCACCTCTCATGTGGTAACATCCTTCACAGCCTCCATTTTTCAGGTGTAAAGGGGAATGAAGAGAAAAAAGAAAAGGGTTGCAACACTCCTAGAAGGTTGCTCTTAAATAATGGAAACTTTGGACTGGTGAATTCCTGCAAATGCTGTCATGTGTTGTGAGCTTTTCTAGAGAACCACAGGTCCAGGGCAACTTGACAAATGCCTCCAAGAATATTATGTAGCAAGGGCAAATGAGTGTGACTGATAGTTTGCAAGAGTTTACAACATTTCATACAGGAAGATGAGTGTCATTACAGTGAAACAAGGAATTAACTTCTCTGAGGTGCTAATATCAAATACAGTGCTCAAGCATGCAACCTGATGGTTCTTACTGTCTTTTTTCCTGTGATACCTTGACTGGTGGGCCTAACGCATTTCTGTTATAGGTAAACACTAAACATCAGTCACAGTTACTCTTCTGCTGATCATACTCTTCCCCTGCTTTCTGTTGAATGCATTTTTGTCATGTCATAGCCTATGGTGTGATTTATTTATTTTATTTCTGTATTTATTTTTAGGGCATTTTCCCAGAAACATATATCCATTTAAAAGAGGCAATCGTGAAGGACCGGGGGTAGGTTGGAGCTTCTTGAGATGTACTTTTCGTAGCAAGAACAACGGAATGCTGTTTCATTTAAAAAAAAAGAAAAAGAAAAAAAAGAAAAAAGGAAACTTAAGTAGTGGTGGTTGTAATGAATGCTCCTGGTCTGTGTGTGCAGCAGGGCATACCGCCCTGCTTCTGGAGGTGCATAACTTTCTTTTTTTCAGAGTATTGTAGATACCAAAACAATTGTAGGCATAGGTGCAGGAGAATACTATTTGCAAAAATGAGAAAGCTCTGCTAGACAAGTTAGTAGCGAGGCAGGTCAATCAAGTTACATTTAGCTCCTCTGGGGACTCCTGCAAGTCATAACACACTCCTGCTCGCAGCCAAGTAGCCAGCAGGAGTGTGGATTCCTTCCTGTCTTGGAAAACATTTAAGGAAATGACTCCTCATTTGATTCTTAGAGCTGATTCTGTGATCATTATAGTGAGAGGAAAATAGCAGTTGCAAAGGAGACTTTAGAAGGTACTTTTTTTTTTTTTCCTTCTGATTCGGTTTGTGGTTTTTTGGTGGGGTTTTGGGTTTTTTTTAATAACTGTGGCCAAGTCACCGCTGCAAGTGGTGATTCTTCCAAACTTAATTCCTGTCTATTTAGCATATTTCTGGAATAGATCAGTTGAAAATAACAAGACTGAAAGAAACTTGAAACATGTTTGCATTAAAAATGGATAATGAATGTGCACGTGTGTGTTGGAGAACCAGTTGAACAATTTAAGAATCTTGGCATCATGAGTGAATTGTGTGAATATCCAGCCCTCTGAAATTTCTGTTTTACTACTAAGTTTTAATCTTGAGTGTAACAACACCTTTTTTCTATTTTCTCTTCCACCCCCCCCCCCCCCCCCCCACCCCCCAGACAACATGAAACAGTGATTCCAAGTGAATTGCCCCTTGGACAAGAACTCACTTCTACACTGAGGGAGTGGGCAGTTATCTGGCACAAGTTATATGTGGTAAGTTTTCTTCAGTGGTTGGTATTTTATTAAATGACCTCAGATGAGATGAGACTGGGCTTTTTGCAGGGCCCTTTAAGACTTTAAATAGAAGTTAAGCAGAATTATAAAACTATCATTATTGTAAAATTGGTCTAAAAGGCTAAAAATGTTCTGCTCCCCACTGAATGGGATGTGTGATCACAGACAGAACTGCGGTTTAGTCCACGCTACAGTGTTCGCTGTGCTTGAATAACTGTGTTGGTGACACAGCACTGATGAAGCATTGACTGGCACAAGTCACCTTCAGCATCATGTCAGCTGGCTGGGGCTGTGTGTGTGAGTTGCTGGTAAAATAAGGGTTCCTGCTTTGCTTGTCGTGCCTCTGTAAGAGGGCAAGGTATCTCAGTTGTGTGAGAAACTATGATGTTGTTTTAACAGAACCTTTAACAAGTGTGAAGTCTGTTTTTCTAGAAGTATTGTAGGTACTTAATAGAATGGTTGATCCTCACCCCAGAGTGCCTACAGCTCAAATAGGCAAGATAGACAAAGGATGGGAAGAGAGTTAGGGCCATGTGTGGTGGGGGAAGATTTGACTTGTCCGAAGTCACATAATATATTTGGTTCTCAGTAGGGCTGGGGAGAGACCTCTCATCTACTAACTCTGTTTAGTGGCCTGGCCATATGATAGCCATCTCAGAAAAGTCAGAAGCCAAGGTAATGCATGGATTTGGTAGTTTTGCTGAGGTAGGTGCATTCTTGCTCAAAGAAACACAACTGGAGTTCACAATTAATTGCCTTCTTTCGAAGGTGATTATTAAGGCGCATTAAAGAGTGTCAAACTTATTTTTCTTTGGTTAGTAGTGAGTTCAGCCTCCAGAGTGTGCTGGTTTTGGCCGGGGTAGAGTTAATTTTCTTCCCAGTAGCTGGTATGGGGCTGTGTGCTGGATTTGTGCTGGAAACAGTGTTGATAACGCAGGGATGTTTTCGTTACTGCTGAGCAGTGCTGACACACAGTCAAGGCCTTTTCTGCCTCTCACCCCACCCCACCAGCGAGCAGGCTGGGGGGGCACAAGAAGCTGGGAGGGGACACAGCTGGGACAGCTGACCCCAACTGACCAAAGGGATATCCCACACCATATGATGTCATGCTCAGCAATAAAACTGGGGGAAGAAGAAGGAAGGGGGGGACGTTCGGAGTTATGGCCTGCATAGTGTGTGCTCTGAGACTTTAATCAAGATGAGAGAATGGTTTTAAATTAGCTCTAGCCATTCAGTTTACCCAGAGCAACCTCTCCTATTGAAAATTTCACCAGGCCACAAATACATTTCGTTTGTGCGCCACAAAACCACAAGAATTTGTTCCACCCTCTTAATTTAATGAGAAGCCGTATGTGACGTTATTACTGTGTGAAAAGAGAGTTTTGTTCCTGGCTTTTTTTTTCTGAATAACTTTAGGATCCTAGCCTCGGAATCTATTTTTCCTAAGAGCAGAAATCTTTCATGTGCCTGTGCTTGACCAACATTAAGTCTTATAATAGTCTTGGAAAATGTTGTGGTTTGAAATGGATTTGAGTTTATTTTATTTTTCCCTGCAGTATGTATAAAAAGGAAAAAAAAAAAAGCTAAAGGAGGAAGGAGGTATTTGAGGAGAAAAGGGAAATACAGGGGATTTTTTTCTTTGGCAGCATTTCATTTCAGTTCTTTAATTTTTGTGTTTTTCAGCATGAATTGCACCAGTGGGTATATCTCCACTGCAAAACAAATATAAAAATGGGTGAGAGTTTTTAACTTCGTTTAGTTAATAGGAGTTAGCTAGTGTAAACAGCTGTAGAGAGAACTCAGCTTTAGCTGACTGTCAAATTGAGATCTGCTCTATATTTCCCTGAAGGCTAACACAAGTTGCCTTCTCTTTGCAATTATTTTTACGCAAGTTAAGAACACGCTTTTTTCCTTTGTTTACTAAATACGTATCTAATATCTTCCCTATAGGAACCAAAATTCTCATCTAGCCTCCATTAGCCCCTTCGCATTTGCCCAAATCAAAGGGAAGATGGCTATTTATAACTCCCTTTAGATTTGTGTTCTCAGGGGGCAAATTATGCGTAGTTTGTATCATTCATGTTCTTTGCAGAGACCAGAATGGGGAAATAATTTGAACAAGTCTCTCTTTCTGCTGTGTGGGAGCAGTTGGGGTTCACAGTTAAACATTAACAGCTTTGATACACAGAACTGACGCTGGTCAGCTGCTGCCTGAATGTACCAGCAATATACCATTGGCCAATTGCCACTAGCTGTTGGGTGAGATGTAGTCAAAAACCTCTTGACAGTCATTTTGGAGCTGCATATCCATAAACATGTCCCAGTAGATGAAAGTTTAATGTCCTTTGATTTGTGGCACTCCACTCTGAAAATGAGCTGCACTTGAGACTCGGTGCAAGTCAGAGTCATCCTAGTAACTGGCTCACTATGTGGTGGTAAAGAGAGGATGAGGCCTGGGTTCCCTTTTGAATGGTATAAATGGTATAGCTGACACTTCTAAAGGCTTAATTACTTATCTAAGCGCATATTGCTGCAAATAGAGTAGGTTACTACATAGCTATCTATTTTTTAATTACAGAGTCAGCCTTGGAGTCTGAAACGATAGGAAAGAGGTGTATAGGTGTGTGACTAATTTTATTAGGGTGGAACTAGTAAATACCATGAGAAGTATTTTCATTAATTGAAGATGCAATGACTGCAGCAAACATGAGCGAGTACCTGGGTAGACTGGGGAGGTGGTGTCTGGGAATCCAGACATGATATTTTTATTGCATTTTTGGACAACTTCTGGCATGGTAGGTTCTGAGCAACTACTGCCTAAAAGCATGGGATGAGTCAAGACTGTGTTGCATTAAGTTCTGTACAAATGTAAACAAAAATGAGCGCTCTGAAGAGCAGATAATCTTCAGTCTTATTTCCTGATAGACACCAGCCAGAGATGTGTTTCCACAGAGCTACTCTGATTTCCATTAAACTCTTGTCTGGAGGTCAGACATGGACATGACAATCCATGCGTGAATTATCAGTGGGTAGAATACGAACCTTGAAATATAATATGCATACTGGCAGGGAAGCAGCGTTTCCCAGATATCGCTGTGTTTTGTTGCTATTCCTTTTTTTAATGTAATGGATTTTGAGTGTATGATGGGACAGGGATAAGAGAGCAGGCAGCCATGAAAATGAGTCCCTGGATTCAATTTGCTTAGTGTTCTGGCTTCAAAACATAGTTGCTAACACTGTAAACAGTGGTGAGGGCAGAGATTGCAATTAACCACATTGTTCGTGTTGTTAGTGTTGTATTCTGGTGACAAGAGGCCTTCCTTATACGTAACAAAGAGGCTGAAGAGTTCTTTAGGCTGGTGAAAGCTATAGGAGGAACAGATGTGAGAAAAAGCTTATGTGGGCTTGAGTGTTGGTCATCTGTCATTGTTATTTATGTTTTGGTATCAACTTTAGACTTTTAAACGCAAATAAAGTGTTTGCCTCAGAGTCTTACAATCTAAATAGGCAAAACAAATGTGAAACATGGATTAAAAATGACTTGCCCAGTGTCACGCATTCTGAGAGTGGCAGAGGTAAGGAGAAAGAGCCTTTGTATATTAAGTTGGCATTCCTGTCTCAATCTGCTGGAACACAATTGCGATCATTTAACATCATCCCTCTGTCCTGTATATAAAAAGCACCCATCATAGTAGTTTAAGTGCTGGAAAGCACCAGAAGTCTATTTTTTGTCTGTGAGGTTTTCCTGAAATAATGTCCTGAGGAAATGGTGAAGACCCCGAATCTTGAGACACTTAAACCTTGGCAGTGCAAAGTAGTGGAGATTTTGTTCCATGGGTCTAATCTTGTAGTGTTATATGGTGCCAGTTTCTCAGATATTTTTAGTTAAATACAACTTGTATGGTAGATTTAATTGAGTACATTTCAGAAAGCTTATTGAGCTCATCGTTTTCAGGCTATCACTAGCTTAAAATTGTCCCTTTTTTTCTGTAGGATAACAAGACAACACAGTTTCGGCATGTCCAACAAATGACTTACAGCCTGATAGAATGGCGGTCACAGATACTGTCTGGGACCCTTCCCAAAGATGAGCTAGCTGAGCTCAAGAAGAAAGTCACTGCTAAGATTGACTACGGCAACAGGTAAACGCCAAACTATGTCTTGAGGGCAGGGGAGAATCCCAAATCTCAGTAAAGGCTCTAGATGGCTGTTAATACAAAATGGTGTAAATGAGCACGCAAGGGGAACACTGAATTAGGCTTTACGTTTTGCCTTGGAAAGGGGATAATTAGAGCTTTCAGTCCCCATCAGAATGCGACTAGCCTGGCAGGTGGGCATGTAGCAGTTGGTTCTTCATATGCCAGCAATCTCTTCGACTTGGCAGGAAACCTTACCTGTCTTAATTCTGCAGAAATACTGGCACATGATGGTATTTCCCATGGAGCACAATTTGTGCCTGGCTAGCTGTAGCCAAGATTTGGATGCTGGTTATGAACTAAACTGCTTTATCAACAACTGAGTAATACAGTTCTATAGCTCACCAAAACTCCACCTTTCATTGGTTTATACAGAACAGGGATTGTCTCCAGAACTCATTTATCTGCCTGTCAGAGTTGATTCAGGTCAAATAAGTCAATTAAGAAGAAAGCTTATGGCAAAGAATAATAATTATCCATAATCCATAAGCTTGACAGATATACATATCTTTTTTTTTTTTTTAAACAAGAGAGAACAAAGAAGATGTCATCTTAGAATTAAGTTACCTGACTAATTATTATTCCCTTTAATGGGAAAATGGGGGGTGAGGGATAAGTATTTTGGGACAGGAAAACCAGCAATGTGATTATTACAAGGAAGGGAGTTGGTGTGCATTGGCTGCCTAGTGCAGTCCACAGTGTGATCTGTGGTTTGTGCTCCTTCAGTCACCTTTGCTTCTTAAATACTGTGTTGCTTCTTTTGTCCTCATGACTTGCATGCTACTCAGGATCCTAGGTTTGGACCTGGTTGTACGAGATGATAATGGGAACATCTTGGACCCGGATGAAACTAGCACAATCTCTCTCTTCAAGTCCCATGAAACTGCATCCAAAAGGATTGATGAAAGAATCCAGGAAGAGAAGGTACATCTCTTGTCACTGGCTTTGTCCTCTTCAAGTAACTAGTACCCACTGTATTTGTACGTTCCTCTTAAGTATTGCTACTTTGGCAGCAGAACTAAATTCTGCTGTGTTTGTTTTTAATGGGAGCACTCTCCTTCTTTGCAGTCCCTGCAACAGAATTTGGACCTCCGAGGGCAGCCAATATTCAACACAACGCATACATATAGCCTGTATGTAAACTTCAAGAATTTTGTTTGCAATATTGGAGAAGATGCAGAGCTGTTAATGAGCCTCTATGATCCTGATCTCTCCAAATTCATCAGGTAGCGTTTTTTTGTAGGTGCATAAGCCATTTAGTCATCACGGTGGTCATTCTAAAGAAGCCAATAGAGGTTAGAAAGGACAATCCAGCAGATAAGTTTTTTCAGTTCTGTTGGTTGCTGCCCCAGTGGTGATTTGGAAGGGGGTTATTTAATTTCAGATGAGATAGGAAGTCAAGGTTCTGAGCCCATGCACTCCCCTTCTTAAAGCTGGGCATTTCTGTGATACATTAGTCAAAATCCCAGATTGTCTCTTTATGTTCTCTAAATTTCCCTACTGTTGTCACTAGATTTGATGCATTTGATTAATTGCTTCCCGTTAAATCATGTATATGCATGATGTTTGCTGTCAAGTCAGTGCAAGTTCATGCCTAAGAGTTGGGCATCTTGTACTGGTAGGAGAAGATATGAAGAACTTTATTAAGGAAGCATGTATGTGTCAGGCACCCCCTGTCTCCATCATTGAAGTTTATCAGGTGTGGACATGCAGTCAGCGTAATATAGGGAAGTAACTAAGAGTACCCATTCACATCGTGCTGGCCTCCTGCCTTCACTGAAATGAGTCACTTCAGAATCACTTTGGGATAGAAGATTTTAACAGAATTTTTCAGATATTCCTAAAAGATTAAAATGCTTTTGAGCTTTTGCCAGGCAATGGGAATGTCAGGTGTTGATTTATTTAAGTTTTTTTCTCTTCCTTTATTTGCAGTGAAAATTACCTGGTTCGTTGGGGCAGTAATGGGATGCCTAAAGAAATTGAGAAACTAAATAACCTTCAAGCAGTCTTTACGGTAAGTTATTGTATTTACATCCTGGAAATTCTTCCCCATGCTGCAGACATCTGAGTTTTGGATTCTTTCCCTCTCCCCTCCCCTCTCCCCATGCAGCAGGGAGGGGTCACGTGGCATTTTGGGGTGTCTTCATGGATACCCAAAATATTATAGGCGGCCTCAGAGGAATGCTGCTGAAAAGTTGGTTTTGGTTTTTTTTGGTCATGGATACCCAAAATGTTATAGGCAGCCTCAGAGGAATGCTGCTGAAAAGTTGTTTTTGGTTTTTTTTGTTTTTTTGGTATGTCAGTCCAAAGCAGCAGTAAAGGTGTATTATTTTGCAATAGTACTGTCAGTGGGTGTTGCTCATCCATGCATTTCTGAAAATCCTATTAAGCACTTCTCTGTTGGAGCCTAACTGTACTGAAAATCTAGGCTTGAGATCATAGTTGTTTGTTTTTCAGTTCACTGCTTTGCTGATCCTTTTCTGTGTTGGAGTTTGTTATTTGCAACAAGATGTTAATGGAATAATTGCACATGAATGGAATAACTTCTGGCAAGTAGCAAAGGTGGCACGAACTAACTGCCTGGTCATCAGGATTTAGTACTTTGGCAATTAACATCATTTACTCTCCTTCCGGTACTGTTGCTGGGGTGTGTTATCAAAGAGTAATGGGATGTTTAGAAATTGCTGTGTGGAAATTGTTAGTGTTTTTGTAGTTTTGGGTTGTGTTTTTTTTCCCCTCTAGGGCTCAAAGGGAGCAGGTTTTACTTCTTAAAAAATAATAGATTTCCTTTTATATGTGTGTACAAGCTAACAAAAAAGTCTTACTCTCTCTGTCTTCTTCTCTTCCATTCATAAAGCAGATTGATAAAACTTTATTTTAAATAATTTCTAGGATTTAAGCAGTTCTGACTTGATCAGACCGAAAATCAGCTTGGTGTGTCAGATTGTGAGGGTGGGGCATATGGAGCTGAAAGATGGGAAGAAACATACCTGTGGACTCCGGAGGCCCTTCGGTGTGGCAGGTATGACAAATTCAATTAATGGAGAAAAATAACACGTCCCAGTGACTGTGACAGTGGACTAGGAATTGGGAAATATGTGCTGCATGTCAGCAAAGCTTACTAACCTCTTAGTGTCAGCATCTCTGACTTCAAAATGGAGATGCTGATACTGAGCTGCCTGTAGTATGCCTTTGAGACCTTTTAATAAAAGTTGTATATGAAGATGAAATACTGTTGCTGTTCACTTTTTGTTTTGTCACCCCCTAAAAAGATAACACACTGCCACCAGTGCGGTAGACTTTTCAGATCTTTATCAAAGAGGGATTTGCTACTCATGACTGATGGGAGAAAGCTGGAGTTTTTAAAGGAACCTCAGTGAATGAGACATCCAATTCCTGTGCAAGTCCTGTGAGCTCTTGTGAAGAGACTTGCTTGAAATTTGTGGTGGAAAACAATCGCAAAATAATCGGCATTTGAAATCTAAGTGTAATTTCTTTGCCTTGAAATGCCTGAGTTCCACCTGTTTTTTATCAGAGAGTATATTCACATTCGCTACCATAGGCTGACTTACGCATCAATGAAAAGGTGCTTTTTAAAAAGTTAAGATGAGAGTGGTGCTCTCTATTGCTGTCGTGAGTGGCACTGGCCCAAAATAAGCAACTGTTGTTTCCATTCTGATAGGGGAAAGCGCTCTCCGTATTCTTTAGCAACTTGGCAAAACTATGTGATGAACTTGTGTCGTTGCAGTGATGGACATAACTGATATCATACATGGAAAGGTGGACGATGAGGAAAAGCAACATTTTATTCCATTTCAGCAGTAAGTACTGGACTTCAGAGTTCATCACATCTGGCTTATTTAAAGCAGTTGTCCTTTGGAGAAGGACAAATTTGTATGGGAGCCTGGCAGCGTACCAAGGTCTCTACAAATAGATTAGCTTATGGCAGTAGTCAGCTCTTTGAAGGAAAAGATCTTTGTCAGTCCTCTGAAGCCTTTGTTCCCCTTGATTTACATGTCTGTATGATAGGCTAAATTGCTTAGGGAGTTTTGGCAATGCAGCTGAAACTGCTAGGTACCCATATCATCTGAGGTAAGAAAGAAGAGCACAGTGCAAAATAATGTTGTGGGGTCTGGGGGATGTGACCTTCAAAACTATTAGGGGGTTGAGAGGCAAGATTTTTCAGAAACACCTGAGCATAGAGAACACAACTCCTCCTTGTCACTATTGTGCGGTACCCTGTGTATTGTCAGACTCTTAACTTTCCAGATTACCTTGTAAGGGTGAGTCAGAGGACAATAGGAAAGGGATTTCTCCCTCCTTCTGGAGAAGGAATTTAAGCCCCAATGTGTTTTGCATTTCTGTATTGCTGGTTAGACTTGTGTGTTCTGCCTGCTCTCTGATTGCTCACTTTTTTGGCACATTACAGTAACTAAAATGAAGCTTGTTTGGGTAGACTCAGCCATGTTGTTACAGTCCTAAATATAGCAATCCATTTGGTGTAGCCATATGTTATTACAAGGTATTTTCAGGGGAGATTATGTGGGGTTTGGGTTTTTTTTTCCCCCTACCCTTTCAAGGCCTGAAAGACTGGAAAGAAGGATGTCTTTTCCTTTGCAGAATAATGCTAGTCTGCTACCTTTTTTCTTCTTCCTTCCATTTTTCTTCTGTTCTAATGAGGCTGAGTTTAGATCCAAAGCTGGACACCTCTACAAGGATAGGGAGCCTGTGGAGACATCGTTTTGTATGTGCTTTGGTTCATTGTTGATGGTGTGGGTACAGGAGTGAAGTTGGGTTCAAGATCCAAAGCTCAATAGATGTGTTTGTGACTAGGGACATGTTCATCACTTGTGTCATCTCAGAGCAGTCATTAGTTATGTTAACTTATCACTAGTTAATCTACATAGTCTCTTAGGAACAGCTCTGAGGCACACCTGCAGGCAGGGCTCAGCTCATCTGATGGGAGCGCAAGGCTCTATGTGCTGAGCTGCTCCTGCGTGGTAGCCCATAGCTGGACTTGTTCTCACAGGTTTGCAAGGCAGTCAATCTGTGGATGGAAAACAAGAACAAAGTAGATCTGGCTATGTTTATGGTTGTCCTGGAGGCTGCTATTTCAGTATGATAGAAATGTAGTCATGGAGTCTTTAGGTCAGTGTAACTTCTCCTAAGCCTGAGCTAGCGCTGTGCTGTATTTCCTAGTTTGAGAGTTTAAATGTGTTTCCATTGGGTTTGTGCAGGTGAAGAAGAAAAAAAAATTCCCATGGAATCCTTTTAAAAAAAAAAAAAAAAAATTATTTGGAAAACAGTCAGCTGTTGGCCAGCCCTCTTCTTGCAGAGCACATGTTTGATGTTAGTCTGTCTGCTTCCCGGTCTCTATTGTTGTTCTTCTCAGGATTGCCATGGAAACGTACATCAGACAGAGACAGCTAATCATGTCCCCACTGATAACTTCCCATGTGATCGGAGAAAATGAGCCCCTCACTTCTGTCTTCAACAAAGTCATCGCTGCAAAGGAAGTGAATCATAAAGGGCAAGGTACAGCAGTCAGGCGAGAAGCTAATGTAAAAACCTGGTGTGGGGAAGGGTTCCCCTTGCTTACAAAGTAAAATAAACGGCTTGTGAAAGTCCAGAGATGAAGGCTTACTGGAGTTTGCTACCTTCCCTGAGCCAAACATATGGTCTTTGTAATGGCTGTCATCCCAGCACATTGGGAGCCAAAAAACAGATGAAAACAGGAGCTGTTCTTACTTGCGTGAAAAGAACTTCTCTAGCTGAGGACTTATTTGCTGTTAATGTAATATTTTTAAGATAAACCTGTTTATATGGACATAAAATATTTTTAAGTGAACATGGCTGATGGCATATTCTAAATTGCTTTGGGTTTAAACTGCATTATTCAGGATTCTGCTCTTGCTTGTGTGTCTGGCCTTTACTCAAATACACTAGCGGATTCATCTCAGAAAGTTTGTATTTTACTTCAGAGAATCTGCTTGCCCAGTAAGGTCTTATTCAGTGTTAGGGAGGCAGAGAACTGGGCCAACTGAGAACCAGCTTGAGATATTTAAGGCATTGTTGCATGGATATCACATGAAGAAACAGTTTTCTGTTAAGCATAGGCTTAAATTTCATGTTTTTGTACTTTTTTCCCATAAACAAGTGTTACCTTTCTTTTCTCAGGTCTTTGGGTCTCCCTGAAACTGCTTCCTGGTGATCTAGTGCAGGTTCAAAAGGATTTTTCCCACCTCATAGACAGATCCACTGCTGTGGCTCGCAAAATGGGATTCCCTGAGATAATCCTTCCTGGTAGGTCCTATATGCCTCCACACTTCCATGGAGTGAAAGAGCCAGATGAAATTCTAGAATTTCTGCTATGAACAGATTTATTTTAAAGCCATCTGAAAATATGTTTTCATTTTTCTTGAAATGTCCAGCCAATCTTTTATTTTTTGTCAAAGAAGTGAAAATGTAAGTTTCCTTTTTTATATTGAAAAATGATAGTGTGTGTACTTTTTGGAAGAAAATTTCTGTATAGTCAGAGACATTTTTGTTGCGTGTAGGTTTGACCCTGCTGTATTTAATCCATTCGAAGTGGATTTAGCCCTATAGAGCTCATTGCATTAGAGGTTTAAAAAAAGGAGAAGTATACATTTTTAAAGATTTTTGCATAATTTGAGATGAAGATGAAATGGTGTGATGTTGGGTGTCATTAATTAGGTGGTATCAGTAAAGGCTAAGAAGAAGAAAAGGATAATGGGATACCCAAGGATGTTAAGTGCTAACCTGTACAATTCTCTGTATGAAAAAAACAACTCATTAAGCGCTATGAATTTTAGGTGATGTTCGAAATGATATCTATGTCACGCTGATACAAGGCGAGTTTGACAAAGGGAAGAAGAAGACTCCCAAGAATGTAGAAGTCACCATGTCTGTACATGATGAAGATGGAAATCTCCAAGAGGTATGATGGCCTTTGCAGGAGGTCACAAGGCTGTGTGTTTGCTAGATGATAGCTCTGGTCCGTAGGATCTTATTTATCAACTGTATGCAAGAACTGTGTGATGATGAACAAGAGGTATTATAGGTGAGCTCAGTGACCAAATTTGAATACTCACTGATTTTTTTTTTTTACATTAATAAGAGATGTGAGCAAACCTTTAAAGATTCTGTAAAACTTTCAAAGAGGTGACACACATTGAGTGCCCTTGACTGTGAAGCATAGACTTTGAGTAACTGATAGTTATATGCTTTGAAAATTTCTGACCCTTAGATACTTTTTGCTTTCATTCTAGACCTTACCTTTCCCTTTTCCTTCCTCCCTTGTCTTTTTGTCCAAAGAAAGCTATCCATCCTGGTGCTGGTTATGAAGGTGTCTCCGAATATAAGTCTGTTGTTTATTATCAAGTCAAGCAACCTTGCTGGTATGAAACTGTAAAGGTAAGAGTGTGTACTTCACAGTCTTGCTTCCTTTGTGTAGGAAAAGGAGCTAATTTAAAATCAGTAGGTGCATAAGTAACAGAATGTCCTGTAAATTGACTGGAGATAGAGAATGCTGGTGCTGCATTTTTCATTGTATTATCATGTGCAGGTGTCCATTGCAATAGAAGAAGTCAGCCGTTGCCATTTAAGATTCACTTTCCGTCATCGGTCATCACAGGAATGTAAGTATCAGAAAAGAAGATCTGCAGGAGTACTGTACTCCTCCTACTCTCATTGAGATTTTCTGAGTATCCACCAAAGGTGTAGTGTTTGTATTTCTACTTCCAGTGTTGTGGATTTTCTTGCAAGCAAAGAAAAATAATTCAAATTTTTTACAGCCTTAAAAAAGGTTTGATGCTGGTTTTGTTCTAAAACTGAAATTAGATAGGGAGCAACATGTTAACCCCCTTGAAAGACAATTGTCGATGCTTATTGATGCTTTAGCTTCTCAGAGTATGGTATTGTTTTTACCATAGAATCATTTAGGTTGGAAAAGACCTTGAAGATCAAGTCCAACCGTTAACGTAGCCCTGCCAAGTCCACCACTAAACCACGTCCCTAAGCACCACATCTGTGTGTCTTTTAAATACCTCCAGGGATGGTGACTCCACCACTTCCCTGGGCAGCCTGTTCTAAT